GAGCCCAGGGGTTCCAGACCAGCCTGGGCAACTTGGTGAGACCTCATCTCTACAATAAATCACAAAAGACTAGCTGGGCGTGGTAGCACGCACCTGTAATGTCAGCTAATTGGAAAGCTGAGACGGAAGGCCTAAGCCCAGCAGGTCGAGGCTGCGGTAGCCATGAGCGTGCCACTGCACTCTAGCCTGGCTGACAAGAGTGAGACTCCAGCTCAAAAAACTAAAATAAAATATTGGGGGAGAAAAACCTTGTGGGTCTGTTTTAGTATTTACAGTTTATGGGACCGTTTGTAATTCTGTTAGTAACAGCCATTTCTGCATGGTTGCTCAAGCCCTCTGTCTGTCTCCAGACCTTCTCCGTACTATTTGGTCTGGTATTAGAGTTACCCAGGAGGCTTCTCCTATTCGTTCTCTGGCCTGAATATGTCAGTGGTCCGAACACAGACCCCAAGGTCCCTTTTATTGTGTTCTGTTTGTTTCTTCTCAAATAGTTTAGTGCCTTCCTGTGTTCTGGGCTTTTGCGCAATAAGGATTGTTGGGTTACTCTGACTTCTTTCTCTGAATTTAAGATCTATTTTTGTATTTTGTGCCCAGAGGTCTAAACATGTCCGAGTTTGTCTGTGACCTGTCAGCAAGGCCTTATGTGTACGACCTCATTGCTGTGTCCAATCATTATGGAGCCATGGGTGTTGGCCACTGTAAGTATTGGCATCTGCTTGTTTCTGAGATGTTGAAATGTGCCTAGCTTAGTCATCTCTCACCAGTCTTTCCCTGTGGACCAGGCACTTGCTGTACACAATTCCACAGGTCTCTGAGGCTTCAGACTCCTAACTGATTCCTTTCTGTCCTTTATTATTCTTTTTAGATTTTCATTTCTCTAATTCAGTAACTCCACCTCTGGGAATCTATCCTAAGGAAATAACTTGACATTAGGGAGAAGCTTTATGCACACAGATATTCACCTATTCATAACAGTGAAAAGTTAGTGACAGTATTGGTGACCAACAGTTGGCACTATTGTCCATCTCCTTGATGGAAGAATAGACAGCTATTTCAAAATAAAATTAGTAATAACTTGGGGAAATGCCCATGATATGTTAAGTGAAAACAGCTACATAAAATTGTATCATTACAGAAAGTTTTGCATTACAGAAGGTGTTAAATCAAAAAGCAGTGAAACTGACAGGGTGGCATGGGGCGGGGTGTGAGCCTGGAAGGAGAGACACTAGAATATTGCTTTTACTTTTTTCTCTTTGCTCTACTTTATTTTTCCAAAATTTCCATAATATATGGGTTTACTTTTTTTTTTTTGAGTTGGAGTCTCACTCTGTCACCCAGACTGGAGTACAGTGGCCGCTCCCGGCCACCGCAGCCTCGACCTGCTGGGCTCCAGCGATCCTTCCGCCGCAGCCTTCCAAGTAGCTGGAACTACAGGCGCGCGCTACCACGCCCGGCTAATTTTTGATTTATTGTGGAGATGAGGTCTCGCCAAGTTGCCCAGGCGGGTCTTGAACCCGTGGGCTCAGGCAATCCACTCACCTCAGCCTCCCAAAGGCGCAGGATTACAGGCTGAGCCACCGAGCCCAGCTGGGTTTACTTTTATAATGAAAAGACCTTGTACATTTTGTTACTTGTTTACAGAAGAGTGCTAGTGATGTAGATGTAGGGAGCCGGCTTTCCTCACCAATTCTCTACTGCGTCTACTTTGGGCCAACTGCCACTATATCCACTGCTAGGACCCCAAGAGATGACACCACGGGAGACATCGGTTTCATTTATACTTACAGTAGATTGCAGAACTTCTCTAAATCCTAGTTTTTTACCCCGCACCAGTAAAATTTTTCTTTTTGGGTTGGAGTCTCACTTTGTCGCCCAGGCTGGAGTGTAGTGGCACACTCATGGTCACTGCAGCCTTGACCTGCTGGACTCCGGCGATCCTTCTGCCTCAGCCTTTCAAGTAGCTGCAACAATAGGCCTGTGCCACCATGCCCAACTAATTTTGATTTATTGTAGAGACAAGGTCTTGCCAAGTTGTCCAGGCTGGCCTCGAACCCCTGGGCTCAGGTAATCCTCTCACCTCAGCCTCCCAAAGTGCTGGGATTATAGGTATGAGCCACTTCACCTGATAAGCTTTTTCCATTGGCCCAATAGTCTGCTCTCTTACCCCTCCATTCCTTTTTTTTTTTTGAGTCAAGGTTTCACTCTGTTGCCCAGGCTGGAGTACAGTGGCACAATCAAGCTCACCACAGCCCCCACCTCCTGGGCTCAAGCGATTCTTCTGCCTCAGCCACCTGAGTGACTAGGACTACAGGCACATGCCACCATACCCGACCAATTTTTAAATTTTTTGTCCTGACGAGATCTTTTTAGGTTGCCTAGGCTGGTCTCAAACTTATGGACTCTAGCTGTACTCCCACCTCGACCTCCCAAAGTGCTAGGATTACAGGTGTAAGCCACCACACCTGGCTTCCTCAGTTTGTATTATATTGCTGCCTGGCTCCAGATGGGTACTCAGTTTCTAGCCTTCATGTTCTACATTCCATGCCATCAGAAGAGGAAAAAAGGCACAACTTTTCTTTTCAGCAAAACTCCCATAGGCTCCCTCAACTCTTCTACATACATCTCATTGGCTATAACTTGGTCACATGGTTACATCTAGCTGCTGGAAAGGCTGGGAAATAAACATTGTACCTGGTTGAAAACTGGGCCCTGCCTGGGCACAGTGGCTCATGCCTATAATTCTAGCACTTTGGGAGGCCAAGGTGAGAGGATTACCTGAGCTTACAGGTTTGAGACCAGCCTGCATAACTTGGTAAGACCTCGTCTCTACAATAAATCAAAAAATTAGCTGGGCGTAGTGATGTGTGCCTGTAGTTCCAGCTACTTGGAAGGCTGAGGCGGAAGGATCACCTGAGCCCAGTAGGTCAAGGCTGTGGTGGCCATGAGTGTGCCACAACACTCCAGCCTGGGTGACAGACTGACACTCCAACTCAGGAAGGAAGGAAAGGAGGGAGGGAGGGAGGGAGGGAGGAAGGAGGAAGGTGGGGGGAGAGAGAGAGTGGGGAGAGAGAGAAAGAAAGAAAAAAATTGGGGCCCTGCTGAAGTGCTTGTTAGTCTGATCATGTCATATCTTGTAGTGCTCACTGTTCTGTAACTTGCTTTTTTCCTCTCAAATCAATCTGTTAATGCATACTGGTTGGATATATTCATTTTTAGTACACAAACATACCATTTAGGCAAGTTTCTCAGTCTCAGTTTTCTCATCCATGAGGTTAAGCTGGTTATATGAGGGTCCACATTGGGTCCACAGTTGGAACTCCAAGATAGAGAGCCACCATTGCTCCTATTACACCAAGCAGAGACTGTATGGTTAGACCCTAAGTACTTTCTCTGTTGCCTTTTCCTGTGTTCCTCACCACCACTTTGTGCACTTTGGTGCTATAGTAAGGAAACTGAGGCTGAAGTATTAAATAGCTTGCCCAAAGTCACATAGTAAGTTGAGACTAGAAACCTTATCTCTGATTATGTATTTCTGAGAGTTTGAGTGGAGCAGGAAGTGGGCATTGCTGCTGGTAATGCTGTTATAAACACATCCTGCTTGGATATATTAAAATAAAGACAGGAAGCACTGGCTGTGGGAAAAAGCTTGGACTATTGTAAGAAATTGTTACCCAATTACATTATTGACTCACAGTTGCAGAGAAAGATAAATTTAAGGCTGGTTCACATCCCAGCTCTGCAAACCCAAACATCCAGTGTTTCAGGATCATCCTGAAGGCTCCAGAGGCACTAAAGAGCATTCTGTTGATGGTAGTCGTCATCTGCCAGAATGCAGTGGGGGAGATTGACTTGGCATATTCTTTTGAGAGCTATAGTTTTGCTTAAATCTGAGCAATATTAGGGCCTTTTATGGGTTTCCTGACTCTGGGTTATTGCATGTAGCCATCCTAAAGATTGATACTGGATTAGTGTCCCAAAATTACAGTTTAAAGACTTGGTGCCCGACAGTTCCATTCTTACCATTTAGAACCTTTTTGTGAAGGAACAGATTAGAGGAACGTGAGCTGTCTTTTGGTTGTTAAGACACATGAGATACTGTGGCCTGGCACACAGTGGCTCACACCTATAATCTCAGCACTTTGGGAAACCGAGGGACTGAGGTGGGAGGATCACCTAGGGCCAGGAGTTCAAGAGCACCTCGGGTTATAATAAAAAACAAACAAACAAAAAACAGCCTAGGCAACATAGTGAGACCCAGTCTCTACAAAATAATAGTAATAATTATTATTATTAAAAAAGACAAACTGTAAATTAGTTTTAATTTCAGGGGTTTGTTTTTTTTTTTTGGTATTTATTTAGCACAAGCCTAATAAGCTAACCTAATAAGCAAGCATAGTAAATTAACTAGATTAATTCTCTGGTGACTGCTAGAGTCTAGAGTATTTTCTTTGTTTACTTGGCAGACACTGCATATGCGAAGAACAAATTGAACGGGAAATGGTATTACTTTGATGACAGCAATGTGTCCCTGGCCTCTGAGGATCAGATAGTGGTGAGTAGGCTTTGATACCTGGTTCTTTTTACCATAAGTAACATGGTATTCTCCCCTTCTCCCTTACTATGTGCACTGAGATGGGTTTATAATTTTATTAAAAAGCCGGGAAAGGCCTTTCTCAGGTTAGTTGGTTATTTCCTCATCTTGATGTGACAATGGGAGAGCTAGATGTGACAGAGTTAGCTGGCATTCCTTCAGGGACCCTTTGTAAATGAGAAGCTCAGGTTTCCCTGTCAGGTTTGCCTTTCCCTACTCCTCTGGCAGGAGCAGCACAAGCCATCCTTAGGTAGAAAGGCCTTCACAGTCTCCTCTATGTGGACGTATAGAGCAAGATGGCAGATCCTAAGGGTTTTAAATAGCAAGAAAAGATCTAGGGAGAATGGGTGATTTTTCCAGCCAGTGAATAGACTTTCCCTTTCTTATGTTTTAGACGAAAGCAGCCTACGTGCTATTTTACCAGCGCCGAGATGATGATGAGTTTTACGAGATGCCTTCACTCAGCAGTTTTCCCAGTTCCTCTGATGGAGGGACACGACTAGGCAACTCACAGCAGGGCTTGGGGGAGGATGAGGCATGCAGCATGGACACCAACTGATGCTGACTCTGCAACCTTGCCACCCTGCAGCATCAATGTAATCCCCCAGGATCTTTGACATTCTGCAAATTACTAGTGTTCAATCTAAAAAACAGATGAGGAAATTCCCTTTTATGAGCAGAAGGAAAAAAAAGATCCTGTTTGCTCAGAAGAATGATGTCAAGAGACTGAATTATTTCTTTTTAAACAGGTGGTGAGAAATTTCTGTAAAACCTATGAAGCTGAAAAGTGGGGTGGGTGGGGTGGGAGTGCACAATGGAGTATGTCTGATGCATTCCAAAGAATGGAGAGGGACACACTGTAACTGAGTATGGTGCAGCCATGAAGACCTGCCTGCGGAGCCACTCTGCACTCCTAGATTTTTGGTTCTGGTGCCTATATTGTTCCCTGCATTAGTCTGCTCACAGTAAATGGAGCCATAAGTAAACATGGTATTCTCCCCTTCTCCCTTGCTATGTGCACTGAGGTGGGTTTATAATTTTCTAAAAACTAGCCACCAAAGCCCATTCTGTTTGTCCTTTGAATCATCTTGGAATTTCCAGCTTTCTTCCCCCCAATGAAATGAAGATATTTAGTGGTGGCATTTCCTGCCCCTCAACTTCCTGTGGAACCTAGCAGTTGTTATGTCCCCCACTATCCTTGAATTGAAACAGTTGGCTACTGTGTGGCATGTTTATTAGGTATCACTTAAGTCAGTATAGCAAACTGCTGTGTACAAAAACAACTGTGTCCCATCCAGTTTCTCTCCATGTTGGCTTGAGAATGGGAACCTTTGTGGGAGTTGTCAGGCCTGGAAAGGGCTCCGGTTCATTTTGGGTAATACCCAAATACCCTCCAGCCCGAATTCTCACCCCTGCCACGACCTCTGCGCTCCCCCCCAATCCTTACAAGTTCAGATTGTCCCCTCACCTTCACCTGCAGTGAGGCCAAAGCTCTGTGGAAGGGGCCCCTAGCCTCCCCTCTCAACCACGTGGGTTGGAAGAACACTGTAGTCCAGGCTTTTTTGCCTGACCTTTAACCTAATCCGTGGGAGTTGGGACCGCCCATCTGAGGCACGCGCGGTGACCGTTGGCGGGGGCAGCAGTGTAGCGGTGCTGCTCAAGAGGATGCTCGGTGAGGATGTGACTTTGGGCCTCTCATCCAACGACTGCGGGTTGGCGGGGGAGGCGGGTAGGGTCGAGGGGCTGCCAGGGAGGGCCACAGTGGTGGTTTGGGCGGCAGGGGCGGGGCGGGGCAGGCTGGGAATCATGGGAAGCGGGGCGGGGCATCCGTTTAACACTGGCTGGAAAGCGCCCGGGGTGTGGGTCAACTCAAGAACATCAGGGGTTTGCAACCTTATCTATAACATCCTTGATTTGCTCTGTGAAGTTTCAGTGTTACATAAAGACATGGTCACTTTTAGGGGAAATGTCTGAAAAACTAAGAAGATGCAGAAAGGAGCTGACAGCAGCCATTGACCGGGCTTTTGAAGGAGTCATTCATTCCCAGGAGTGCACAGGCCAGCAGAGGCTTGAGCTGGACCCAGCACCGCTTTCCTTCTCGCTACCCATGCACAGGTTCCTCTGCAGAAGGCATCCATTGGCAGCCTGCTCCGCTGCTGCTCCTTTGGCTGCTGTCCCGTGTGCTCCTGAGAATGAGAACCCAGCCTTTGGACCAAACCATTTCCCAGTAGATGCAAAACTACATGCTTTATGCCCCCAAAGAAAACCTCTGACCAGCAAGGAAAATGTATTGAATTCCTCCGTTTTGGCACCTGAAAGACAGTTTTGGAGAGCTGCAGGAGATGGGGAAAACTGGAGAAAAAGTTTAAGGTGATTCCAATGTGATAACTTAATAGATACAATTAAGGGGATTCTTGTTTCTAAAAAAAAAAGTTGAAGATCTTACATTGAGTTTATAACAGTGCTTCTGCCTCCTCTTGGGAGCTCTACAACTATATTTGAGAAGTTCGTAGACATTCTGCAGAATCTTGCCAGAAAAGCGTAGTTATGTTTTAAGTATGTGTTCCAGTTAAGAGGCTGTTTGTCAATCCTGGATGTCAAACCAGTCATGGAAACCACTTTGCGGTACCCAAATGGGTAATAAATATTAAATAACATTTTTTATACTGCAGAAACAAAAATCTTAATTTTATTTTAACTCCTGTGTTTGAACCTGAACACTAGGGCTTTTTTTTTTTTTTTTTTTTTTGGGTTAGAGTCTCACTCTCGCCCAGACTGGAGTGCAGTGGCCGCTCCCAGCCACCACAGCCTCGACCTGCTGGGCTCCAGCAATCCTTCCGCCTCAGCCTTCCAAGTAGCTGGAACTACAGGTGCGCGCTACCACGCCCGGCTAATTTTTGATTTATTGTAGAGATGAGGTCTCGCCAAGTTGCCCTGGCGGGTCTCAAACCCACGGGCTCAGGCAATCCACTCACCTCAACCTCCTAAAGTGCGGGATTACAGGCTGAGCCACCGAGCCTGGCTTCACTGGGGTTTTTGATACCCGCTTTGTACGTATTGAAGAGAAACAGAATCAAAGGCTAGGCCTTGCTTCCTGGCTTCATCCTTGCTTCTGCTCCCTCCCTTATCCCAGAGCTTTTTGGAGTGTCCCCAGATGAAGGTCTCCCCTAGAACTTTTCTTCTCCCAAGTAACTTCAAACTGCCTAGTCTCAGGCACCCTGACTTGGAAAAGGGACAACCATATGGGATGAAACTTCAAAGCCCTGCCATCTTGGCTGCCCCATAGGCGGGGAATAAAGAGGCAAATTTAACTGGTTGAACTCCACAAATACTTATATTGGTATTCATGAACATTAATACAGTCTGTGATGCTTGTGAGTCATGATGATGCTATTAGTCCATTTTGTCAGTGATTTAGCAGTTTCTGATTGTCCTCTAATCACAGTATAATGACTTAAGGTCACCAGTAAATTTTTGTCTTTGAGCTTATCTAACACTGAGTTCCCCTCCAGTATTTTCTTGAAAGAACATCTAATTCCCCCTTTCTCCCCACCCACCTGGGGGCCACAGGAAAGATATGGAGAGAGATTTGAAAGTTGACTCAAACATGCTGCTCAACAGTTCTAGCCAAGAGGTCACAAAGGATCTGCTTGATGTGATTGGTGAGTACAGAAGGCTGGCCCATCCTCTCTTGGGGGATAGGCCCTTCACATGGGTCCCTGAGACAGCAAATGTCTTAAATTTTAAAAAACACTTTTAGCCAGGCGCAGCGGCTCATGTCTATAATCCCAGCACTTTGGGAGGCAGAGGCAAGAGAATTGCCTGAGCTTAGGAGTTTGAGACCAGCCTGTGCAACATGGTGAGACCTCTCTACAATAAATCAGAAAATCAGCTGGGCATGGTGGCACATGCCTGTGGTTCCAGCTACTTGGAAGACTGAGGAGGAAGGATCGCCTGAGCCCAGCAGGTTGAGGCTACAGTGGCTGTGATCATGCCACTGCACTCCAGCCTAGGTGACAGAGTAAGACTCTGACTCAAAATGGAAAAAAAAATAGCACTTTCACCAGGTGTAGCGGCTAATGCCTATAATCCCAATATTTTGAGAGGTGGAGGCGAGAGGCTTATCTGATCTCAGGGAGACAGAGGAGAGAGGATTATCTGAGCTCAGGGGTTCGAGACCAGCTTGAGCAACATGGCAAGATCTTGTCTCTACAATAAATAAGAAAATCATCCAGGCATGGTGGCACATGCCTGTGGTTCCAGCTTCTTGGAAGGATCACCTGAGCCCAGCAGGTCAGGGCTGCAGTGGCCTTGAGCGTGCCACTGCACTCTAGCCTGGGTGACAGAGAAAGACTCCAACTCAAAACAAAATAAAACAATAAAAAATTTAAAAACCACTTTTTTCCAGCCTGGGTACCACAGTGAAATTCTCTCAAAAAAATGTTTAAAATTAGCCTAGGTAACATAGCGATACCTTGTCTCTACAAAAAAAGTAAAATATTTGCCAGATACGGTGGCACATACCTGTAGTCCCAGCTACTCAGGAGGCTGAAGCTGAAGGATCGCCTGTACCTAGGTGGTTGAAGCTGTGGTGAGCCATGACCATGATACTGCACTCCAGTCTGGGTAACATAATTTTTTAAACTGGGCGTGGTGGCATGAATCTGTAGTTCAAACTACTCTGGAGGCCAAGGCAGAAGGATTACTTGAGTCCAGGAGTTTGTGACTGCAGTGTGCTATGATCACACCACTGCACTCTAGCTTGGGCAGCAGAGACTCCATTTCGAAAAAAAATATGAAAACCCATTGTCCTTTTTTTTTTTTTTTTTTTTTCACTCTGATGCCCAGACTGGAGTGCAGTGGCTG